AAATCTTATAATTTCAAAATTTATTGTTAGTATATGTTTCTTTCAATGAGCCAAAAATATTAAAAGAGTCGGAGAATGCTCATGCTCTTACTACTAGCAAGAATGAATCTTCTATTTTTGACACTCTTAAGGAAGCTATTTATGAAATTCAGGAAGCGAGAAGGAGGCATGGTAGTTTATTGAAGCTATTGAGCTACAAGTTTTCTATAAATACGGAGCATTATCTTGTTTTTAATTGGAAAATTTGATTATTATATTTTTAATGATATGTTACAAGGAGAAACTTCCATGCAATAAGATATGATATTTGAGGAACAAAAAGTTGAGTAGCAATCAATTGTTGGTCAACCTTTCTCTATAGCAGCATGCAAACAAGATCAAAATGAGAGATTTACTAAAAGATTTTCAAAAGATCTAGTGGAGCTACTGGGAGATATGGAACATGGATAAATTTTTTCCTATGAGCAGGAAAATGATGACGCTTTGATCATAGAAAAAGTCAAACTTTCTTCGTATAATGAAACTCAAGATTTTGAAGCCAAGTTTGAATAAAATTTTGTAATGGAAAAAAAGATGTAATCATTTGGAAAGAATGAAATTTGGAAGCTAATAGAATGTCTTGAAGATTGAACTCTTATCGATTTGAAGTGTATGTACAAGCTAAAAGATGATATCAAAGAGTAGAATACAAAACTTCATCAAGCAAGGTTAGTAACCAAAAAAATACACAAGAAAAAATTATGTAGTATACTAAGCTGTTGTTTGAATAGCTAAGTATTCTACAATTTATGCACTTGAAGCAATTTTTATCTTATAATAGATTAATTATAGTTTAATGTTGACTTTTTCTATGAAATATTGAAGTAGATGATTACATGATATAGCTTCAAAACTTTGCTTAGAAGTGCAACAATATATGAATATGTAAACAGTTTAAATCTTTTTATGGATTGAAGCAATCTATTCAAAAATGGAATAGAGATTTATATGAATTCCAATAAAATTCTTGAATTTGCACAAAGTATATACAATTCATGTGTTCATATGAAATGTGTCAGTAATTTTCATCTCTGGTTATATAAATTTAATTTTATATGTGAACAATATGTTTATTTTTGCTCAAAATCAATGCGGTACTGATAAACTAAACCTCAATTAAGTATTGAGGTTTAGATAAAAACATTATACAACTTTGAAAAGATTTTAAGCATGAATATGAAGAGAGATATCAATAAAGAGAAGTTTTGATAGGATCAAACCAAGTACACAAAGTGAGGTTTTGCAAAATTCAACACTATAATTGCAAAATTCATGATTTTTTTATTGGCATTTCATTTCAAACAATCTAATGTTTAGTATACTATTTTTTTAATGAGGATTAATTAGCTATGTCTAAATTTTTTTATGAGAATGAAGTAAAAAGAGCTTTATATTTGATGACTTGTATAAGATCATCATTAATCTAGCTTTAGGCAAAATAAATAGATTCATCTTCAATCTAGTTAAAATCGATTGAGGGTCAGCTAAATGAATTTTTAGGTAGATAAAAGTTATAAAGGATGTTGGATATTGTTTGATGATAGTTTTGATGATGATTATGACTAAAATTCAGAGACACAAAACTCTAAAACATAATATGTATTCACATTAAGATGTGTATGCATTTGTTGAAGATCTACTTTGCAACAATGTATTTTAATAATACATACAAAAGCAAAATATGTAACAGCAGCGAAAGATTCAAATGAGTCAATTTAGTTGTAGAAGTTTTTCACAAAGATGAGATTAAAACAATGTATTTTTAGTCTTCATTGTGATAATCAAAGTGTCAATTGTTTTGCAACTAACCAAGTTATGAACAGTAAAGTGAATCACATTAACGTTTGATATCATTTTTTTGGAAATTTTTTAGATAGATGATTGAACTTGTCAAAATTGACAGTAAGATCAAATCAACATATGCTTATACTAAAGTGATTACTTCAAAAAGTTTTCAGGGACCTTATTTTAAATTACAATTATTTACATACTTAGATATCACAAGTAGTTAGACCTAATGCATATGTTTCTATATATATGTTTTACTCTATACGTCATAGAATTTGACTTATTTTTAAGTTAATACTTGTTTAAACGAGAGTTTAAATTTTGGAAATTTTTATAGAATTTATGCATGTAAAAAATATAATTAGTTAAAATATAAAGACATGAATCAAAGGAGAGATGGTTAATATTTGATTTTTGACTTGAACTTATTATGGTTAGATTTGTATAGATTGATATATTTAGAATATATTTTAAATTTATTTAAGTGTTCTTATACTATAAAAAAGAAATTGATCTAATTTCATTTTGAAACTTTTTTCCCATATGTATGAGATAATTTTGAGATAGAAATAATTTGTATTAATGTTGACAACAGAAATAAAGTAAATGTGTATAAAGAATGAAAATACAATGTTATTCTTGATATTATCATTTTAAGTAATATTTTAATATTGTTATGATTATATAGAAAATAAATACTTGATGGATGATAGATTTCATAAAAGTACAATTGTTGATAGATGAAGATAATTTTATCACAATCATAGTAATTATTTTGACTTATGTTAGTTTATCATCATATTAGTGTTGAAATATAGTACTACATTTTTTGAACAAACATATATTTATCAAATTTTTTATCACAACATATCTGTAATTTTAATAATAGTTAATATTTGATGTGAATAAATTTCTTATTTTTGTAATATATAAACAGTTAAACGAACATACTTTTCAGAGAGAAAATTATTAAAATTATGTATATTTAAATTTTATAATTCGCATGGAAAAAATAATATGAATATTGAAGAAAATATTTAAACACATATTTTTAAAAACTTGTTTTCTTTGAAATCAATCTTGAATCAATTTTATTTATTTAGGAAAAAAATTTCAATGCAACTTAGTATCTTTACATAAATTTGTTAGTATAATAATTTTTTATAAATTATCAACTTAATATTTTATCCAATTTTTTTATCTATTATTCAAATTTTAAGCAAACAAATAACTATTATCATATTCACGACATTTCATGAAATCTTGAAAAAACATAAAATTAAAGAAGTTTTTGTGTACTTCTACCAAATTATTTCACAATTTTCCACATTTCCAAATATTTTTTGAAAATTCAATCGAACATGTAAATTTTGTTTCACAAAATGGTTTACATGAATTTGTTGATAATGAACTTACATCACTTATAGTTTATGAATAGTATTTTCTCTTATACTTACATGACTCCATGAAAAGCAATTATGTTTCATATCATTGATGCAAAATTGTTATTTAAATTTAACGTAACAAAAATTAGCAAAATCATTTTTTGAAAAAAATAAAATACTTATTAAAAAATATTTTTAAATATAATTAGTCTTAATACATTGCCATAGTAGCTGAGATGCAGTGTTTGTTCTAAGTGAAAAATTTGATAAATAAAGTTGTGAACTATGATTTTGAACAATGTCGAAATGCTCAATTTATTTTTGGACTTTTGATATTATATTTCTGTTGAAAAACATTTAGAAGATTTGGATTTATCATTTATAAGATTTTTTTAAATGTATTGATGAATGAATAATTTACAAAATTTTTAATTTCTGTTGCATTGCAAATTGTAAGATGAATGAATGTTTGTTTCTTTAACTTGAAAATTTTATGCAATTTGATTAATTTGTATGCATTTCCTACATTAACTTATGAAAATTCTTAAATTTTCCAAAAATTTATAAATCGGGTTTCACATTTATATGTAAAAGACAAGGGAAAAATATTATAATTTATTTATTTAGTTCTTATGTTTTGACTTATGTAATTGTCTACTCTTCAAGCTAAATTAGATATTAAAACTTGGTAATCTTTTAATATTTAAGACATGAAATATTTTCATCATAGACATTGAAATTATGAATCTATTATCTGAAAGTCTCAATTAGTTCAATGTATATATAGAATATGTGAAACAACTTATATTTAATTTTTGTTGCTAAATATTATTTATATCAAATGAGGTATTTATTAAGAGCTAGTAGTATTCATATAACATGTACATGTTGCGGTAGTTTCACAACAGTTAGTCATGGGCATTTGCATAATAGGTTTATTGTACTGAAGAAACGAAAATCAATCATTGAATTTCGAACGAATGGGGAGTGGGGGCGAAATGTATTTGTAAAACCAAATCACCTTTTGCTTTAAACTAACTGAGACCAATCTTAGTTGATGCAAAATGTCCTGCCAAGATTATCGGGGAAAGGAAATACAGATGCCCCACAAGTGCTTCCGAGCACAATTCGTCCCGCCTGGAAGATGGTTCGGGCCAAAGACCTCGCAAGAGCTGAAAAGACTACGGATTGTTATCTTTCAGGTTCGAACTGGAGACCTTCAGTGTGTTGGAAGATGATTCGGGCCAAAGTGACGGATCTCGCAAGGCACAAAAGACTAGAGATTGTTTCCGTTCAGGTTTGAACTGGAGACCTTCAATGTGTTAGACTGACGTGATAACCAACTACACCACGGAAACTTGATATCTTGAGTCTCAGTGAAGTAAATTACAAAGTTTAAAATCATAGTCATCCATGCAGTCGGACATCTTATCCGTGCACTTTGCCGGGAACTCAACAGACTCAGACAAACTTAACGAAAATCTAAAGAGGGACAGTTTTGTCTGGTTCCATCATGTGAATCTCAAGTCGTATTTGCGGCGGATCAGGGAGTGACACGTCGTCCCGGATGTCGACGTGTCACTAAAACAAGTGACGTGAACGATGGAGCGTCGCTGAGCTGTACGTACTCAGTTTGGCCCGAGTGATAAACACGCGTTCAAACCTGGTTCCGAATGATTCGGCCTCCGGTCCAGTCGACCAGCCTCGTCGACCGGCGAAGTATTTTGAAATTTGGCGGGGAAAAGTGCTCGAGGAGTGGAGCGTCCAGGCACTCTCGTCCTCCAGCGCCTTCGTCGTCTCGAGGCGAATCGCGAGTCAATGTCTGGCACGCCTTAAAGCTCTCACGCTCGACTGCGCCTTGAGTGTCAGTCGTCCGGGGCCTTTGTTCGCTCGTCCCGATCGCTCTCTGCTGCGTCCATTATCTCGAATCGCATCCTCGCATCGATGTCTCTGCTGTCTATGTTCGCAGCCTCCCGCGTCGGATAAGAAAGAGGTGGAGAGTTTTTGAAATTTTGTGTTGCTGTTCTGTGATGGGATTCGGGTGTTCTGGTATGGGCTCGTAGCTTGTATGTAGGTCGACGGAGGTCGAGGAGACGAGAGCGCTGTGGATTTCTCAGCGTGTGAACGATGGGGAAGGCAAAGAAGGACTCGGTTTTACTGGAGGGGATGCTGGGGAGTTATAGGAATGCGAGGAATGCCGGTGATCAAGAGGATGAAGCGAAGTGGGCGAATAATATTGGACATATGTATAAGGAAAGGGGGGAATACAAGCTCGCTTTAGAGTGGTTCTTGAAGGACTACACGATCTCCATGAAAATTCATGCATCCGACCCCGTGAAGCTGATGCCTACTTGCCAGTCCATCGGGGAAGCTCACCTGCGACTTTTAGACTTCGAGAAAGCCCTCCAGTGGCAGGTTGGGCCCACCAGCTTGCGTAATTTGGCTTTCATTTTCGTTTTCGATCTTTGCTCTTGGCACTGCAGATGTCTAGGTAGAGCGTGTGAGTTGTGTTTCGCAAGAACTTTGGCTGCCCAGCTTCGAGCACGATCTGTCCTGATGCTCGTGTCGGTTATTGAATGTTTGTGTGCTTCAGAGGAAGCACTTCCATCTAGCAGAGGAAGCTGCCGATGAACCCGAGCAACAAAGAGCGAGCACTCAGCTGGGACGTACGTATTTAGAGATCTTCGAAACCAAAAGTACAATCTCAGCTGTACAGGATGCCTCAAGATATCTCAGAATATCGCTTAGTTTGGCCCAGAATCTGAAAGCTTGTCCTCCGCCGAAAGAGCTGTCTCCGTCAGGATTTGTGAAGGAGCTTGTCGACGCCTACAATAACCTCGGACTTTTGAGAGTGGCGGTTGATGACTTTACAGCAGCAGAGAAGTATTATAACCAGGGCTTGAAAATATGTGACGAAGAAGAGGTCAATGAAAATGATGATGCACGTTCTAGACTCCATCACAACCTCGGTCAGCTTTATTGTGAATTGCGGCAATGGGATAAAGCCAGGGAGCACACAGATATGGACATCGCAATTTGCCAACGAATTCCTCACGCCCAAGGGGAAGCCAAGGGACTGGTGAATCAAGGAATCCTACATCTCAAAGCCTTGGAATTCGAAAAGGCAAGGATGAGTTTTAAACGGGCTTTGGTGATTGCCCAGTCGCTCCAGGACGAGACTCAACTGTGTGAGGACATAATAGCCAACCTTGAAGTCCTTAGCGAAGCTGAAGACAAATCCAAACAAATTGGAGTCTTGTTGCAGCAGCAGAAAAAGCTCCGTCGTGGAGTGGAGAGTGCTCCAAACGTTTTATCATCGAGGACGATCATCAAACAGGAGATGAAGTTGTTATTTGATATTTTGTCCGAGGCCTACGCTATCAAATCCTGGGATGTGGTCGGTGTTCTCCCTCTCTATACTTATTCATGTTCGCAATTCAGCAGATTGTGTGGATCTGATTCGATACATGGAACCTCTAACGTTTAACCATTTGGAGGTTTTCTACTTTCTGACGCGCGCACGTATATGTTGGTGAAACAGCATCTTGGGATGTCTAAGCGGTTGAAAACCTTAGCAGAGCGTCTCGGTGACCACGAGAAGCTCGGAGATGCTTTGGATCTGATTGGCATTTCTTACTATAATCTCCGAATTTTTTCCAAAGCGATCAAGTGGCACTGGAAGGAATGGGATGTTTGCCACAGGATCAATCACTTGGAGGTGTGTGTTTTATTTGTGCTTGTAGAACAGCACGATGAATTCTAATGCTTCCAGTGTATCACTTCTCATCAGGACGCGCACTTACTCTGCTAACGCGCTGGCCTTTCTCCTTGTACTCAGGGCCAGATCGTCGCCAAAATAAACCTCGGCAATTGTTTTGATTCGACAGGGGATTGGGAGGGAGCTCTGGAGGCTTATCTGGATGCCTACAAGTGAGCTACAGAGCATATGGATTGTTGGCTTTTCCTTTGCATGTTACAGGATCTGGTCAAAAGGACCTAGTCAGAGTACTACAAAATCGTTGTGTTTTTGATCAGCACGTTACATGTTGCAGAGCTGCAAGTTCGAAATCCACATCTGCCATGCGATCTCAGAAGATAAATGCGTTGGAGAATATGCACTATTGCTACTCAGTCCGTCTGGAGCAGTTCGAGGATGCAAGGTCAGCCGGTTACTTCAATTTGAAACTTTCGAAATAAATGCCTCAAAATTGACACTCACAGTTACAGTGGTTCTCCCATCACATAGCCAAACGCAAACGCAGATTCGTTCTCTACATTCTTCACTTAACAAGAAGTGATAAGTTTCTTAGTCCAGTTTACTGGTCCACTGAGATCGCGTGTATACTGCTCATAATCAGTGTTAAATCTGCCCTCTTGCTCTTCTAGAGCAGCTTGCCAATGCTGGTCTTATACAACTTGTTTACCGCAAGATAGGAACAAGTAAACGACATATCTTTTGTTCTTCTGCTGAGCTATCTAGAAGCTGCTCAGTCAAATGAGGTTTGAGTGCTCCTAACGTTATTTTGTACCATCTCAAACTTCGTACCAGGAGGGTTGAGCTTGAACTACAGCAGTTGAAGAACCTGGGGAACAATCCTACAGGCATCGCAGACCCAGAGGATGAACGGTGTTCTGAAACTGATGGCGAAGGATCTGAAGATGATACGAACAAACCGGCGGCCCCTAATGCAGAGAACGGATGCAGCTATGGTTCTAGAAAAGCACTTCTTGCTAAAGACAAGACCGTTGTAAGTCTTGATGAATCAGAAGATGGAAAGATCTCTCAGACGGACTGTGACCTCTTTTGGGAGGAATTTGATATGTCAGAGGCCTTGGATGCTGAAAAAAAAGTAGATACTCAGGAATCCCTTTCAGTAGAGAAGGAACCGGATCTAGAAGATATCACTGATGATCATGCACCGCTCTCATCTCTTTTTAATGGTCGTAAAATGTTACCTTTGAACGATATATGTAGTAATAGCTTGAGAAGGGAGAAGAAGGAACCGCAGAAACAGAAAGTTTCTACAAAGGACGCAGGTGTCGCTCCAAAACCCTCCAAAGAAGCATCGAAGTTAACTCCAGTGAAAGCCCTGTCTAGGAAACAGCAGTCTAGCCGACGGAAAATGTTGCAGACAGTACTGTCGGACGACGAGGAGAACCTCATTCCGCCAAAAAGTGCGAAGGCCCCCTGCCCTCCAAGCATTCCAGATGGGGGTGGAAGCGGGTACGTAGAGGACAGTGACAATGACAGTGACTTGATGGAGGTCCTTGCTTCAACGAAGAAGAGGAGTCGCTTATCGATAAGGCACTACCCTGCTAAGCGAGTGAGTACCACCAGCTCAGATACAGATGTTTCACTCATTCCTAATAGGAGGTCTGAACAGACCGAAACATCTTCTCTGAACACATCCCCAAGCCCGAAAGAGGGAAGTTCCCTTCCTCCTCTGGTTGACCTTGTCTCGTCCTCTAGATTGCCTGAGATATCTATGGTGGACTTAACCCCACTATCCGAGCATGCTACAAGAGTTGAATCGAGTCATGTTAGAGCCGGTGAAGAATCCACTCCTTCCTACGTGCAGTGCGCCATTCCCAGTTCCAACCAAGGCTTTGATCTCGATGTCAATGAGCAGAGCATTTCGGACAGGCGGGCTGAGCGTAGTTCTCATGCAGTGCCAGAACCGTCGAGTAGTGAAGCATGCAAAGGATCGGAGTGTCTTCCATGTGGAAGTTCTTGTCACGTCAACGAGGCGAAGTCTCAACATTATGATGAGATTGCAAGCGCTTTTCATGATGGCGAGAAAATGGACTTCTCCGGTGCCGGTACGTGTCCCTGGCTGCGTTGATATTGGTTGCACTTACATGTATTCAAGCTTTAGAACAGTACAGGTTGTTAGAGGTCATAAGGTTCGTTGATTGCACGCTGACCCTTGTTAATATTTTTTTCCAGAGTTCGCAGATATACCGGTGTTGTTACGGTATGCAGAGGAATGTTCAATAAGCGGTGTCCTCCCGAACGCTATGTTGATAAACAAGCTTCAAAGTCTGAAGGTCATGTCTATGCTTCATAATAATGAGAGTATCTGCTAGATCCGGTTTGCATCTTTCACATTTCTGATCACTTTTGAAGTGTAGTAACAATAATTAGTTATTGAGCAAATTCCCTAACTTCAAATGCTGAAAATGAGATCTTTACGTATTTTCAGAGCTCTGAAGACGAAGTGTTGGCGTCTGAGTGCAACCTAACAGACAAATGTGCAAGGCCATTCATTTCAGCACTACAAGAAAATAAAACACTCACCGTACTTGACCTTTCACACAATCAACTGGGTGAGTTTCTTCCTAGCTGATTTACGTTGGATATATGTACACCACTGACATTTAAAAAGTTCTTACTTAGACCTAGAGTTGCTGGATTCCTTTGTAAATTTCATCCAAGTGTTGTAAACCCCAGAAGCCGAGAGTGATTCAAAGCATCTACTGCGAGCTCGTGATTAAGGTCATCATGTCATTGTTTACTCACATGATCAGAGTCATGCTGGGAGAGGTCCGCACTTAGTACTTTGAAGTCGTCCACATGATACCAAATTATGCGTTCATGATACTTATTTCCTTGGTTCAATTTTATCTTCTTCTTCATCATGTCTTGTTCTGCTGCCGTCAAATGTCCTCATGTCGGATTTCTCTTTTCATTTGGAACATAATTATATACAGGTGTTACGATTGTAGTACTTAAACCAGTGTCAGTGACTGACGAGTACTAACGTAGGAACTGAAATTAATTCTATGTTTATATGTGGGCCTACAGGTAATGCCGCTGTCAATGACATTCAGCAGCTGATCAAGCTTACGAATCAAACAGATCTGGGTTTGACATTGGACCTTCATAGCAACAAGCTCGGAGCTGGGGCTCTCACCCAGGTTAGAAAGATTATAGTTGTCATACGGTATTCACATTGCTGAATGTTTTTGAAAGCTTCAGTTATGAACAATGTGTTCTCACCATCTCTTCCAGAAGGCAAGTTGTTACACCTGATGTTCTTAGCACTCATTGAGTTTTGTCATGCCTTCAGCTCTGTTGGTCCGTACAAGCTTTTCACTCTAGATTGGTGAGTTGATGTGGACAAGTCATGCCATCTCGAGGAGCTAATGTTTGGATTTTTAATATGCAGATTTGTCGTTGTCCCGTTGCCCTTTCTCGTCTGGAAGTTCTCAACTTGTCAGAGAACCGGCTAACCGATGCAGCTAGTCGCCATCTTTCTCTTATATTGGAGGGTTCACCAGGTGTTGCTCTGACTTTTCGTTTTCACTTCAAACTTGTTTGATTTCTGAGAACACGCAGCTGCATTTGAGTCTTGTTGCATTGTGCAAGTACCTAGGCCAACGTAAACGTCATGAAGGAGACAAGTTACGGTGCCACTTTTCTTAGATGCTCGAGTTTTGTCGTAACGGAGTGCTTCAGTGATTCTAAAATTTACTTGCTGAACTGTTTGTCAACAGCGCTGGCTACGTTGAGCTTAGAATCATGTGGACTTACGACCCGCACAATATTGAAGTTGATTTCCGCCCTGGATTCGAACTCTACCCTCGCTAAACTATGTATCGGTAAGTTCAAGTTGAGACTTTCGCCTCGTCTCATGTCTATCATTACGCAATCTCTGCGCGTAGTCGCCCTTTTGGTACGTGGGAGCAGTGTGTTAGCACTGCTACCTTGAACCCTCAAGGTTCATATTTGCTATTTTATTTGAACAATCTTCTTCACGTTTTTATGCAATCACCAGATTCTCATAATGAAAGAGAACAAGATTCGTTGACTTCACTGCGGAAGTTTAGTGGAGGAGATATTGTTTGCTTGTTATGAGCTAAGCCTCTTTGGCCATTGGACATACTTAACCATACTCATCCCTTGAAGCCATATACTTTTAGAGTCTAATAAATCTTCCAATGTGGTGAATTACAGGTAAAAATAGTCCCATAGATGGGTATGTACTTCAAGATCTTCTTCAAAAGCTTTCTACGCTCCACAGGTATTCTCACGAATTTTTCTATTTTAGCTTGCTATGATCTGTACAATCTCCGGGTAATCTAGCCGCCCACTCAACTCACGTTCATTCTTGTGTCTGTGATTCTATGTACCAAAGCTTTGCTGAGCTTGACATGAAAGGTCTGGAGCTCGACGAAGTCGCAGTTTCGGGCGTTTGTACACTGCTCCAAAATTCAAGAAGCATTTCCATTCTCAATTTAGAAGCAACCGATATTCGAAATGTAAGCAATCAACTGGTTCTTTGATCACAAGATAAAGTTCCAATATATCAACCACTTGCTTCTCTCTGTATTTTAGAAAACATACGATGGTTTTGAAATATCTTGTCACTAGACTCAAGCAATGTGAGTACATGCAGGATGGAGCCCTTTTGATCAGTGAAAGCTTGAAAACTGCTACGACACGCCTTGCAAAGTTGAATTTGTCTGGCTGTGGATTTCATTCCGACGCTGCGGTGAAGCTTTGCACGCAGCTGATGTCCGTCCACAGCCTCTCATCTCTTGATCTAAGCTGCAATGATCTTGGTCATCAGGTTAGAATCCTTGACGTCTGCAATTTGGGATACTGTTTGCATGATTACCTTATTTGAGCTTTCAGTCTAGACAAAGTAATTCACTTTAAGTATGCATCTCTCATTATTATCCTATTAGTGTGCAGGAAGTGACCTAGTTGTCGTGGGGGGTGTATGGGGTTGAAAGCAGGCTACCGTGGTTATATCTGAAGCGCTTTCCAAAAGCTGTTGTCGACTGAAGGTGCTGAACCTAAGCAGGTGCAAAATCGGAAAGCGTGGAGTTCTTTCGATCATGAGATCGCTAAGAGGCAAGCTCTAAACATACGAATTTGTTGTCCTTTGGCAACATTCCAACCCTTTTCTCAAACAAATTCTTGCTACGTGGATGACCATCTTTCTCCCAAAGTTGCCCTAACACTCGATTGTGCTTGCAGATAATAATACGTTGCTGGATCTAAAGATGGCAGATAATATGGAGGATAGTCCTGCTTTCAATCAGGGATGTCCAACAGCAGAATCATCAATCGTTGCTTGTACAGGACTTGGCCAGTCGTACATGTCCCCAGAAACGCATGCCTATTCGAGTTTTAATATTGCTGACTTCTTAGTAGGCAGCAATTGCAGCCCAGGATTACAAGTCAATATCTTGCCCCTCGCTGAAGACAGTACTAAGTTCATGTCACATCCCAACAAAGAGGAAGGATTCTCCTTGGCCGGAGCTTTCATATCGGAGTTACCATCTGTTGTGAAATGTGACGAGAGGCTAACAACATGTGTACCTATGCACACAAGTCTCCTTGATGGACCGTCAGGCACATCTTCAGGGCAAGGTGACGAGAATATCATCCCGCCGTTCATATCTGAGGGGGAAGCAGAACAAAGGTCCAAAATGACACTGTTGGAGGACCTTTGTAAAACTTTGGTACCGTTGAGCTACTCAAATCCAAGTCGCATCACTGTCGATCTGCCAGTCAGTAGGGCGGAGGTGTCATGGAAACCTATGAGTCAGGAAGTGCAAACTCATGACTCTCTCCGTATCTCTTCCGAGATGGACATGCTAGAGAGTGCTTCTCGTCCATTTGATCACCTGAATCAAGCTCATGCGACCCTTTACAGCCATGCAGAGGCCCATTGCAAGGGCTTCTGTGGTCAACCACCATCGAAACCGGTGCCGGAAGCATTCATAAATCATGTGGAGGGTGCAGGTTTTGCAGCTCACTCAGACTTTACAAGTGATGCATTTTGTGAAGAACTTGCACTTTTTACGCGGTCCGCTAAAGGTTTACGTCGGCTGGACTTGAGCCAAAACAATCTGACCGCAGGGGATGTGGAGCAACTATTTCGTGCTTGGACCTCCTCTGCACGCGGGAAGTCGATTCACGAGCGACATTTCGACGGTGGCATTGTCCACTTCTTTGTTCAAGAGCAGCCTTGTCAATGTGCAAATCCGCCCTGCTGCAGTGCATGGAGTGCTGCATGAGGTGTTGTGTCTCCTTCCGACTTACACCGCCTCGTTCGGTGGGATCGTGCTTTGCCACCGTTCCACATGTATAGTTTGTGGAGTCTATGGATTCAGTATTTTTCTTGTACAAAAATATTTTTATTCAGCTCACGGAAGCGCTAGTTATAGAATGTGAAGGCATGATAGTTAAAAGACCAAGCTCTGATCCTTGGGAGCTTGCATCTTTCACTCAGAGTGAAGCACAGAAATAGATGTCGACTGCAAAGCTTCATATCCTCTTTTGATCATGCGTAATGCATCATTTTTGATAGACATATCTAGCAGCACTATATTCTTCATGGTCGCAACAAGTCCAGCTAGTTCTCGAATTAGCACTGTATATAAGCGCGACGCTACGGAACTGTACATACATGAGCGAATTTTTTAAATCTTCAACGTCGTTCTGGTCAGCAATGACTGCCGTAATGAGAATTATATCGTTCCGGTGCCGCGTTGTCACATATGTTGGTCGACTTCAAACTGTCCCGCGTCATGTGTCTCCTGCTTGATTTGGGTTAAAGGATATAGATCATGATTACTTTTCAAGGTTTCGTATCCTCTGCTTGATTTGCTCCCGAAGTATCTATTTCTGTCTGTCCATGCAAAATTAGTTACTATCTGAAGCTTACTGCTAAAATGAACCAAAACATAACCCAGTGCTAAACTGCCTTGTACGTTACTCGCAACTCCCGATACTTCAGTACACGACTTCCGTTGTATTTTGCCTACTGTTAAGAGGTCAAACTTTCAAAGAAGAAATATCAGTCTGGAAAGAGAGCCCCGAGCAGCCTGGAAATCGTCAGAGCCGGCAGACACCAAACAGAGTGTTCCAATACATTCTGTAGACAATTTTCCTCACGCAGTGCTGACGGATGACATTTCTTCCGCCCTGTTCTGATTCAGACTCTCAACCGTAATTGGCAAACGCCTACAGCTTCCCAGAGCCTTGCCATTTACCACTTGAATAGATCCCAACTCTACATCAGAGAACGGCAGTGCTTTCTGTAACACCGCATGTGATCACACTTCTGCACATTGCTGAACTTTAGCTGACAATGTCAGGTACAACAGACCGAGAGTACTACGTAGGGACTGCAAGTTCTTGCCGCTTCACTGCCGACAGTTGGATTCGCCTTCTGTACCTACCATGATCAACTATGAGCTTACTGCACGTTGGCAAAGTTGACTGCGTTCTTGGATCCAATGGTCCAAGCGGTCCTCTACTTCGGGGCACACAAGAGGAGCGAACGCAGAGCACCAAGGCACCGGCTTCGGCAACCTAGCCTCGTCTCACCTGCCTTTTCAGCTCGTCTCACCTGCCTTTTCAGCTCATCTGGACTTGGCTTCGGAGGGTAGTTCGGGCCGAACCAGGCCGAGCTGAGATGCCGGAAATCAGTCACCACGTAAGTCAAGGAGGCAATTGTCACATTGGGTGGATAAGGAGAATTAGCGTCTGCCGTTGCTGCCGCAGCTCCTTCTGCTGCCGCTGTCACCACGACGACGAGTTCTCAATCCTTGCTCGTCTGCGTGAGGTGCACCTCGTTCAATTCGCTGTTGGGAGTGCAGAGCAGAGCTGCGGAGTGTGCATTGCTGAACTTTACTTGGCTGGCTGATTCGAACGGTGGGTTCTTCTCGAATGTCGTCTTTAGCTGGTAGAGTCTTTCGCCTCCCTGATGATGCCTGATTCTTCTTCATGGGCTGCAATAAGACATGGAAATTGATGACTGAGTAGAGTGACCATTACGGGCCTGCACTGAATTCATTCCCTCCGCTGTTTTCGAAGAATATGAGAATGAATGGTGCCCAGAGGAAGCGCTTCTTCTTAATTTTAGTTACAGCTTTTCTCGTTCTACATTCTACTCACAGTCTCGCAAATGGGATGCAACTATTTCGCACGATGTAGAATGGGCCATTCCAAAGTCTCTACTCCATAACACCATATGCCGGAGGCTTTACTCTTGGGTATGGGCTGTCCTTCTAGTTTCCTATGGAGGACTATGATTCCCTTCTTGTTACCGGAGAGCACGGCTGTTTATCAGCAACTATGTGTTGCATTCTGCCTTTTTGGACAGACTGTTGACAGCTTTGATTTCGAACAGAGGAATGCTGACTTAACCCCCCTCTAGCAAGTATAAGTGAAGCAAAACACCAGATGGATTTGCATATTTTCATCACATGGTGTCTCCTCTTACGAATATTTCTTACCCATCGAGAGAAATGAAATTGTTGGGTTTAGCCTATAAGCAGCGAGTTGTCCCTTTGAATGGAAGCCCAGCCGTGAAAGTTGCTTTCTCTAGATGAATGCCTGCTTTTTGGATCTTGCAGATAGAATAAACGTAGAACTTGAGAGACGGGATCAACTTTCAGAAGAGAGGACCATGCCGCGAGTCGTGAAGGCTCAATCATTATTACCGTCCTCATTATAATTTATCAATATAATTTTCCTCAAATATGCTCCTCCAATCCTCAAGCCTGATAGGTCGTATTATGCCTACCTTTACCAAATCAGTGTTTATCTGTATCGAAGCATTCTGGGTTTCTGATAATTTTTTCTGTTGGTCGTCTGTATCAGTTGGAGTTTAATTCGAGGAAGAAGCTGCTGTCTTGCATAGATGGCAACGCTCAACTTCCAGCATCTGCAATTAAGGTGTGTATTTTCTGAATTCGCCACTGTTCTTAGTACGGGTGCCCACCCTTTTTGATATGGAGTCTCTGAACCCGTGTCTCGTTTGTACCAGGTCTCTTAATCAACTGCAATGGAGATGCGTCCACGGCGAGCTTGATGTGAAGGACAGAAGATCCTCTGTTGCTCTCAGTAGCACTGGATTCAATGATACCAACATCATCAAGTCTCAACTCTCTAGCGTGCAGAAAGTTACCTCCGCCCTCGAAAATGTGGAAATCACGAAAACAAGTCCGGATTTTGACCAAGTGACTGTGTCTGGTGTAAGCAAGCAAAAGGGTTCTTACTTCAATGATCAACAGAAACAGTGGTACAAGATGATGAACGAAATTCGAATGACAGGGGATGCTGTTCCAGTTCTGGAGAAGCAGAGAAAATCCAAGCAGAGCCTGACCCGAGAAGGCATTGTTGGCACGCTCGTAAGACTCAAGCAGCTACGCGTTTGGAGGAGTATTATGGAGGTTAGTATTGCCTCTCTGAAGTATCTCAATGTGGCGAGAATGCGATAATTGTTAAAGGCTCCAATCGATGGACAGTGGTGGTGTCAAAAGACTTACCGGCTGAACTTTGTTTCTCTCGTGGACGTTTCTGCCTGAATGATACAATTTGCGTTGCGGCGTCATGGCGCAGGTTGTATCATCTTCAGGATATGACATGCAAATACTAATGATTACACTTTATGGCTCAAGCAGATCTGTGAATGGTTGGCAGAGCAAGACTGGTGGCAGTTCGGATTTGAGGATTATAGCTTGCTGATGATGGCTTATGGGAAGGAGGGTGAACCCGAGAAAGCAGAGGAGCTGATGAAACGTTTAGTCACAGCCAATCATACACCGAACATTGCGATATACACTGGTCTTATGGAAGCGTATGCAAGAACGAAGATGTACTCTGAGGCAGAAGCCTTGATGCAAAGACTAATCAAAGAAGGGCCACCTCCCACCAATCTCACATACCACACGCTCATGAAGGCGTATGTAGAGGTACTATCAAAAGCCGAGCTACATTTTTAGTGGCATCTGATGTGATCTTTAACACGATTACTCCGAAGCAAGCGCTGAGAATATGTCACACAACATAAACTTCTGGTTTTCTTGCTGAGTAATCGGAAGTATCCGTCTGACGATCATGACATCGAAGTTTGCTCTTGGACTTTTGTTACCCATCTGTCATCGCACTGACGGTTTGGTAATCTTGTAGGGCAACCGGTTGGACGACGCAGAACGGGTGTTTTCGAGTATGAACGATGAGGTCAAAGCAGATGGTCGAAGCTACAATCTTATGATTCACGCATATGGAAAAGCTGGTCGGGTTGCCAAGGCTCATGAGCTGTACCAAGAGATGAAGCACTTAAAGCTGAACATTTCAATCGTCACTTATAATACGCTAATTGCTAGCCAGAAGAACTGCAGGGATGCTGAAAGCATATATCGTCAGGTAAACGTCACCTGTCATTCTTTTTCACCCTTGGATGTCTTCGCGATCCATTCCATCACTGCAACTGCCATTCCATCACTAACCCCTCAAGCAGGATTGTTGTGAGCACCACCGTATTTAACTGATGTTTCTTGGCATCCTTAAGTGCTTATGATTGGTGAATCAAAGGTTTGTATCGCCTACATATTTCTCTGATGTAGGTGGCTGACTATCTGACAGGTGATCTCTCTTCTTCTCGTGCTTCTATCAGATGCAAGCAGCCAATGTACGCCCTGATGTCTACACGTACACCGGTTTGATGAATGTTTACGGGAAGGCTAGACGAACTGAGGCCACTCAAAATCTTTTTGACGAAATGGTCGCCTGCGGTATCCGGTGAGTTCATTCAAGACTTCAGAGTTTCCCCGAACATGCGGTCAGTAGAATTGATCTTTTAATCGCGTGAATCTATAGTTCCTTGCTGGAAATTTCCCAAGCATCCATCTCTCTGTAACTCAAAGAGATGTTTTTCTTGTAGGCCAACACGGACAACATACAACGTGCTGCTGGATGCTTATGCTAAATCGAAACAAGTCGACCAAGCAGAGATTGTTTTGAAGCGGATGCGAAAGGACAAGTAAGCAGACTATACTTTCAGTCCACCAGCATGCAGACGGTTTTTCGAGGGGTCTAGTCGGTTTATGTCACACGTTTGAGTAAGAAAGTTGTAGAACTTAGCTGGTACCTCTTTAGCAGTAAACATGAACGACGTTCCTACTTTCTCCACGCTGGCCATGATGTGTGATTTTGTGAATCAAAGGAACTCTTGAGGTATTGAATTCGCTAGTTTTAATACGTGCATGGTTGTCTTGTGATCAGATGTACTCCTACAATACATTCTTTTACAACATTGGTACATGCGTACGCGCTTGTGGGACAAATGGACAAAGCGGAGGAGATAATGAGGAGAATGAAGAGCGAGGGTGTGGCACCCAACGTTTTTACCTTCAGCACAATGATGAGCGGTTATGCTGCAGCAAAGGACTTAGTTAAAATGATGAAGAAATTCAATGATATGAAGAACGTGGGATTAAGACCAAACCAGGCTGTGTACACCGTGTTGATATCCGCATGGGGTGGTCAGGAAGACTTCGAAGCTGTCAAATTTTGGTTCAGGGAGATGGTTAATTCAGGCTTTGAAGTGGATCAAAGGGCTAGAAGTGCCCTCATAGTGGCTGCAAAAAATCCAGAGCATCTGAAGGAGGCACTAGACTTGCTAGAAGAAAATGGTTTATAATAAATCTGAAGGTGTTAACCTTCGCCTATTCTTTTCAGAAAGCTGTCTAATGATTGAATCTGTTTGCCTGGTTTCACTTGCGGTCGGGAACGCACCCTGTCCTGTGTTAGAATCCGACTGACACGAGACCGGACTATGTCACACTGATGTTGTCCAAATACGCTTATTTCACAACGCTCGGTGCCTCCATTATGTCTTGGTCGGTGCTTTACCTCGGCCACCATAAACGATTGGCTGCATATCTGCAATTCACCATGAGGAGCCTTGCACTCTTTTCAAAAGTCAAGTCCACACTACTCACGCAGAGCCGCAGGAGTACTTAGTACGTGTAGTGCACTCCCATACTCCATTCGGTACCTCGAGTGAGTCCCGTCTCTCAGTTTGAGCCAGAACATATTTTAGCTGAGGCAAGAGAGTCGGTTGCTGTTTGTCTGTACGCTTGTCCTCTGATCCCGCATCTTTGTACAAGGTGTAGGATGTATAATATCAGTACATACAAAATTGACATATTATGATATCTATACATACAAAATGATGATTTGCATATTCATGATGTCGTTTTGAGAAGTAATGTAGCGAGTAAAACCCTTTTCTTTTCTCCCTACTCAATCATTGCCATCCAACTGCGTCGGAGACTTCCTCACCCTTCAGTGCTCGGCACCAACGACCACAGATGTTCATGTCATGCACTTTTCGATGCCACGGGCATCCCTCTAGGCAACTCTAATGAAAGTATTGGATGGAAATCTACAATTTCCATCAATTCTTCACCTTCACTTACTGGACAATGTTTTTTTTTTGGTGCCGAAGGTTTTTCTTAATGCAGGATCAATTATGTCACTTTGAAGCAATGGAACGTGGATCGAATTCCAATGAAGAAGAAAAAGTATAAGGAGAAAAGAAAAGGGTTTTACTCGCTTTTACATGGGGAAAAAATCCGAAAACAATATAGAAATTTTTAAAAAATAAGTAATAAAGAAAAATGTCATGATTTTCTCATCAAGTCGTTGTAGTATAGTGGTAAGTATTCCCGCCTGTCACGCGGGTGACCCGGGTTCGATCCCCGGCAGCGGCGTTTTGATTTCGTCTCTTTTTTGCATATCTTCATGTTTATATCAAACGCCCTTCATTGTTGTTTATATCAAACGCCCTTCATTGTATCCGAACAAAATTCAACAAAAGAATTATATCTATGAATGTTCAGACTGAAGCAAAAGTGGAGCTGTCAAACCTGATCTCTTTTTTGCATATCTTCATTTTTATATCAAACGCCCTTCATTGAATCCGAACAAAATTCAACAAAAGAATTAAATCTATGAATGTTCAGACTGAAGCAAAAGTGGAGCTGTCAAACCTGGTCTTTGTCTCTTTTTTGTATATCTTCATGTTTATATCAAACGCCCTTCATTGTATGCGAACAAAATTCAACAAAAGAATTATATCTATGAATGTCAGACCGAAGCAAAAGAGGAGCTGTCAACCTGCAAGATCATGACCGACCTGATGCTTTAAAAAGCTCACAAGGAGTTTAGGTCCATGATAAAGTCGAAATAGAACAAGTGTTTACAATCAGCCAAATTTGAGTGCTGCACATCACAGCTTTATTTTTCAATTGTATTGAATTCCTTAAAACTTCCTGTGATAATAAAATCTATTTTAAAAATAACAAAAATAAGTTAGTGACTCTAAAACTTGTCTTTCAAGGGGACGTTGGTAATTCCAGACAATCCATACGTCATGTCTAAAGAAGAACATGCCTGCATGGTTCCATTTCTGATGGAACTGCTTGGTCATCTTGTGCAGTTCTAGCGGTTGATGCAACTCACACCATGGTACCTTGGCCGTTGACATCTGATCCAAATCGAGGGTGGAATCACATATTTGTCGCTCGAGTAGTGTTGAAGTATACCTATGATTGTAGAAGATTAACTTGTTCTGCTGAATCCAGATCACCCACTCGACTGCTATGTCATGTGTCTTCGTATCTTCTATTTTTAGCGTTGGCATAAGATTAGGGGCCGCAGGTAGAGAGTCAAAGAGAATCAAATAACATTTAGTTTTTTGAGTTGAGCTTGTAGCGTTGGGAGTAGTCTTCAGTGGATTGGTTATGGTGACCGTAAGCGTCGACCTAGATTCTCAAGTGAGTGGGTTCGGCTCGACTGAATGTGATGTTTGTGTATTGAACCAGTGGGGTTAACACGACTTGATTTCAGTTGTGATACATTGGAGTGTGTACGCTCTTGTGTCTTATGTGTGTGTGAGTAGCATGTCAACGATGTAGACTGTATGGTGATACATATTTGCACGATATCCGGAATCTGGTAGAGCTGTATAGAACACAAAACCTGAAAAAAAGATTTGGCCAAATTGCGAGCGCATGGCATTTTCAACGGAGTGAACGACATGTTGATTAGTTGGAACAAGACCTCGACCGTTGTGTCTGACGACGAGCTCGACATGGACTACCTCTGGACCGTCATCCACGAGGACATCAAGAAATTCAAGTCCAACCCTTGATGTGCGTGGATTCAAGTTCTAATAGATCTAATATTCCGTAGCAGCATGATCCTTGCTTCGCATCGACTCATATTTGATCTTTGAATGATTTTTGAGCGGCAAAGAGAAATTGCTAGCTTGGTTATTAGTGTATGAGAGCTCCGTCGTTGAGGAGTCAAGCAGTGTTTGGATCAAATTTGCATCGCGTAGTGTGTTAAGCGCGAGTCGATCAAACTCCGCGCAGCCAACGATGGTTAGTTTAGGGCACAATTGTGTTGTCAAATCGCAACAATCTTGTCGATGATTGTTTACAAGACAACTATGAGTTCATTCTTTCACGAGTAAGCTCAATTTGAACAAAATGTTTGTTGAAATCAAGACGTACTCAAATACATATTGACAATGTCGACTAAAGAATACGACTTGAAGAATTTTTTTGAAGGCTGGAAAGCTACGTCTAAAAACAGAATCTTCTCGTAGTTGCAATTTCACAAACCACATTCTCTTTAGTAGCAAGGGAGAGAAAGTAGCATGGATATTCACTCGTGTGTCTTGCCGAATGTCTATTGACACAGAAATATGTCTGAGAATTGTTGGGAAGCGAGCTAGCACCCATCACGTTGTTGGCTAGACGGAACACATTACAACAACTTTAGAGAATTTTGACTACTTGGACGGATATGTGTACGAACTAGAAGTGATGTTCATCCTCTAATAAATCTCTCGACGACTTTTCCCCATGCAAATGCAGCTCCAAAGAACTAGATACTGTCACACAATCAAAGCTGGACAAGTTGCATCTACTCCGTCGTGAACAAACCCAATGCTTGATCGACACTCGTCTGCAAACGTCTAGGTCCAAGTTCCAAGAGCAGAAACATGGTTCTGACAGTAACATCTTCAAGTGCCTGCTCCAAATGATATCTATCCGAAAGCTCATGCTTCATGTGATTGCTCCACTTGGAAATCAAGCTTGTTCGTTTGACCTTGTACTGCTCCTGTTGTATATTCGGATTCTACCTCAATCGATCAAAATCCGATCCGGTTTGCGGGTCGTTGGTCCAATTTGACTCGAACCCGATCCAAGCGGAGCCCTATCTATCCATGCTTGAGGAACCTGTGAATAGTATCCTTCGACCATTATTGTCTTGTGTCAAGCAACCCAAACTGTGGTTGGAGGATAGCTTATGATCGAATAGTGATGCTCGGTTCTTTCCACAACTCTTGAAGACGGCAACTTGTTACAACAGGCACCTGCTATTCTGTACACCCAAAGTTAGACACCACAAAGTGATTCGTCCATCAAAGCTGCGTGTTTTGGACTTCTTCCGCATTTAATGGAGAGACAGGTTTCATGAATTGAATAATTTGACTCCAAGCTTGCAACATGGAGTCCCATAGAGTGAAATCTCTAGGTGAGGAAAATTGGGTCAGGAGTGGCCATTGGAATCTATAGGGCCAATTACAAGAAGATGACCGTTGGATCCGATTGATTATATGATGAAGAAGTATATTTATGGGGGCATCATTTGGTTACACTATTCATTTGTTCGTCAGGGTGATCAAAACCTCATGCGGATCAATCAAACCCAAACCTCTCACTTTTTTGCCCACGGAGCAATTTGTTCATCGAACACGAGATTTGGTATGCTCTTCTGTTCCTGACCATAAATAATTTTGCAGCGATACTTAAATAGCATTAAATATTACTTTGGAATCCATCACAGACTAAGAAAATACCACACGGACAAAAGTAGCACAAAATTCATGTCAAGAATATGAGCTACTACGGACAGATGACCCGACTACCAGTTGTTGTTAGTATATAGTTACCGAATGTAGTGTAGTGATCAGATTAGGATAATTTTGTGTTAGATATTCTTTGTCTTCTTACCCTTCTTTGTAGGTTGATATATTGACAGTCGATGTTCTTGACCATACTTATCACATTTGCTACTGAAGGGATTCTTCTCTCACTTATCTAACATCGAGTTCAGCTCTTACTTTCAACATGGTATCAGAGCGAACTCCTTCATTCTTCTTCTTTTGCAAAAGACCAACAATTATATATTTGGCGGTCTTGTTCCTTTCAGTAAGCAAATGCCTTTCTATTAAACGAGAATTTGTTGTTCTAGGACCTTAGCTAGCAATGGACAAAGTTTTGAACTTTTCGGAGTCTATGAAGCTTTCCGGGCGCAAGAACTATTTCAATTAGTCTATCCGCCTCAAAACAATCCTTTGCACCAAGGATTGTTGGGATGAGATCATACACCAACCGACTCTACTTTACAATCTCGATGGCGCTCGTCAACAAGACATCCACAACCGTCGTATGAAAGCCATATCTTTGATTCAAGCCAGTGTACATTCTAACATTTTACCATCTATTTCAGATTTTGAAGACACTCCTGAAGAGCTTTGGACACATCTTTGTCAGCGATATGAATCGCGAAACACACAACAAAGATTCATTTTCTCTCACCCATTGTCTTCGCTCGAACTTGTAG